CCTATGTAAGTGTGAAGTGTAAGTCGCTTCAAAGAGAATTATTGTAAAAATCATATTCTCTATACACTCATGAAACCAAGAGGTGTCCATGGTTGAAACGAATACAACCATAAGAACCATAAACGGTAAAGAGTTAATCATATGACATATGGTTGTCTAGGTATACACCAAAGCTCGACGGTTCAAAGATATCACATCTACCGATTGATCGAGTATATCCGACATATGTTCACTGTGGAAAGTTCAACAGGAAACCTACTTATCCAGATGCAATTGATCCTTGCTTGTAAAGCACACACTCATTCGTGCATTTTTTTATGTTATAACCATTCCCCATTCATGTGGGGGATTATTGGGTATATAGTAAGAATTAATGGGAAATGATAGGAAGATTTCTCTTATGTTTTAGTAAAAGGCATTTCTCCCTCATTGGTGGTGGAAAGAAAAGTTAAAGTTCTTAAATAAGAGAAACACTTCTACTAGTTGTTAAAAGGGCCGAAAAGAGGGACCCCTCGAGCCGTCATTGTCGTCGCTCGGCTTGGCTTTGGCTTTGGAAAGTGATCAATCAATAGATTTTGGAAAAAGTTTGTTTTAATTATTTATTTATTTAATTAAATTAAATGGCCGAGACATTTTTAATTACTTAAATAATTAGCCAAAATGACCCAACCCAACTTGAATTCGCGCGATCTGAGTTTAAAACGTCTTTCCCGTTTTATTTGAATTTCTCACCGTTGGAAATGACTGTTTTGAAAGGTTGTAACTTTCAGGAACAACCATGACCGTTCTGGAAGGTTGCAAACTTTCATGAATGGTTGTGTGGTTTCTGAACGGTTGCAACCTTTCGGAACCAATGCTTGTTGGCTATAAATACATGTGATTCCTCAGACTTTTTACTTATGAAAATTTCTGAACTTCTTTTTCTTCTTCTGCACAAATTCATTATTCATGTACTTTAATGTCGGTGCCTCGCTAACACCATTTGTTTTGGGTATCAATATACTGGTGAATAGAATCGTTCTATCCTTAGAGGATCTATTCCAATTCAAACCTTGGATACTACAGGACAATAATTTTCTTAATTAAGGGGACATTGTGCATTCAGTGAGCTCAATTTTTTTTCCTTCCCATTTCATACGATTGTTATAGATTCTGGTATGTTTTACAGTCATTAATTTTTGTTCTTCGCTACATGATTTAAACTTTGAAATTTATTGTTTCTGCAAAGTTTTGTTTTCATTAGTATTGGTTTAAATACAGATTGAATAAGAACTACTCCACCAACTCCTCAAAAGTTGGGATAAATAAAATAAAAAAGGGAAAAGGGTTAAAATTACCCCTCAACTTTGTTTTATTAGTTGATTTTACCCCTGCCGTTAAAAACAAGTTATTTTTATCCCTGCCGTCAATAAACTTAACAAATATACCCCTCTTTGGATGAAAAACCTCAAATCAATTAAAATTACCCGATTTTACTTAAATTACCCAATTTTAACCTGACCCTACCCACTTAATAATATAACCCATTTCTTTTACCCAAATCACCTTTGTTTTCCTCACCACCACCACCAAAGCCACCACCCTCTCCGAGATCTCCTTCACCACCACTGCCGAAACCACCACCTCTCCCACTACTCTAACTCCAGTGTCACCTTCATGCCTATTCACTATGAATCATAACACCTCATAGGCCACCTTTATATTTACTGTAAAATATGTATGATTAAATGGTATAGTTGACACCAACCATTTGGATTTTATTTAAAACAACCTAGCCAGTGGGAACTCACAAAACTACACATTCATCCTTTCACTCTATGCACATCTTCATTGCAACAATCTAGCCATTGCCAGAACAAGACTGCACCCTTCATTCGACCCGCTTCAAGCTGAGAATGAAGTAAGGTGAGAATCATTGTGCATCCCGAAAAGAAGTAGAGCAGTGGTCATTAGGGGAATAAAAACATGCATATGATAAAAAGACTTCTCTTATCAATGGAGACTAAATTTGTGCCAAAGATGGAAAATATAGAGTAGTAAAATTTACTTGCTTTTGCTGGAAACCCAATAAAATTACAATTTTGGTTATGTTAACTTTTGCTGGGAAACCCAGAAGGAATTTGGTCTTAAAAAGCAAGAAATTGACTCTTGATAGGGCTGCTGACTTGGAGGAGGTAGAGTAGTGGGAGAGGTGGTGGTTTCGGCGGTGGTGGTGAAGGAGATCTTGAAGAGGGTGGTGACTTTGGTGGTGTGGAAAACAAAAGTGATTTGGGTAAAAGAAATGGGTTATATTATTAAGTGGGTCGGGTTGGGTTATAATTGGGTAATTTTGATTGATTTGGGGTTTTCTGTCCAAGGAGGGGTATGTTTGTTTAGTTTATTGACGGTAGGGGTAAAAGTAACTTGTTTTTAACGGCAGAGGTAAAGTCAACCAATAAAACAAAGTTGAAAGGTAATTTTGACCCTTTTCCCAATAAAAAAAGGTCAATCTCAATAGGTTCTTCAAGATCATCAAACAATTATATATTGACATACTAGTTATTAACCTATTTGAGAGACATGTCAAAATATGCAAAGTTGATGATCGTGCATATCCATCTTCTAAAGTCACATTTCATCTTGTACGTGATAATCTTGGATTTTTAAGTGAGGTAAGTCAACCACATCTACCCAGGTTGGTGGATGAGTGTTATTTATATATTACTTCATTTTAGCTTCAGAACTATATTTTAGAGTTTTATGTAAAATTTCATGTTCTCGTTTGTTGCTAGGTATAACACTTGGTGGCTTTTATAGATTTGATATTTTTTTTACTCTAAATTGTGATAACTGAGAACTAATTTTTCTATTGGATAATGTCTTTATGCATCTATCATGACTCAAAAATTTAGATTGTGACATAAATAATCGATTTTACTATTACATATTGGAATTCCCTCATAACCATCACAAATATAATCGATTTTTACTATATTTATTGCGATCATGCTAGATGAATTGATCGGATCTCTCATTTACTCGTTGTATTTGCAGGTGTCTTGTTAAATCGCCTAGTTAGGTGATCAAGAATAAATGTAGATATAAAAAGGGAAAAGGGTCTGATATACCCCTCAACTTTGTCATTTAGAGCTGATATACCCCTTGTTATGAAAGTAGTTCATATATACTCTTGTTATTAAACAAATGACTCACATATACCCTTTTCCTCTAACGAAAGTGAAAAAATTAATTTTAATTTCTTTTTAAAAAAATATATAATTCATATGAGTATATTTAATCCTCCTCACACGTATTTTTTTGACTTTTTTTTTATTTCAATGACTAATTTAAATTTATTATTTTGATTTATTTGTGTTTAACTAATTTTCTTGTAAAGTTTATTATAGATGGCCAATTTTTTTTTCAAATACAAAAACTAAACTATAATATAGGCGAAAAATAGTTTTAAATTATAATTAACCACAAAATAATCAGTTTTAAATTATTTTTTCTTTACATTAAAGAATGAAAGAAAAAAATAAAATAAGAATAAATAACTCAAATAATGATAATCAAAGAAGTCAAAAAACAATTTGTATATGAAAAAGATTAAAATATACCTTGAACTTTGCTAGAAGGATCATATATACCCCTATATGAATTTTTTTTTAAGATTAAAGTTAAAAATATATTTTAAAACTAATTTTTTTCACTTCCGTTAAATGAAAGGAATATGTGAGCTCATTTTGTAACGGTAGGGGTATATGTGAGCCGTTTGTATACTGGTAAGGATATATATGAGTCATTTTATGACAAGGGGCATATCAGTTCCAAATGACAAAGTTGAGGGGTATATCAGACCATTTTTCCATATAAAAATAATATTATACAATTACAGCCAAACGAGGTTTTAGGCAAAGGGATCTCATGTCTCCCAACCTATTTATATTATTCATGGAATATCTAAATAGATGTCTAGTTAAGCCACCTTTTTTCTAAAAAGGATTATAGTAATTCTGATTTGACACTATTTGGAATGACTCTCTCATATTGAAAAATCTTCACTTCAGACCGGTGAATTTGGTAAGGAAAGTTTTCTCTCTGCTTTAAACGTCTTTTTTCCGCCTGTTCAACACTTTACAGGAAGATCCAAATTTCAATTACCATCCAAGATGCCAAAAGATGGTAATAACCCATCTAAGTTTTGCTGATGACTTGTTAATGTTTAGGAGGTGTGATTTAAAATTTTGTTTCAACTGAAAACTACTTTATGTACTAGAGTTAGAAGAAAAAAATATTGTTCAAGTATATGAACTCTCTATAGGTGTGATAATCTAAAATTTTTGTAGGCTTTGGGATTTTATTTTAAAGAAGTTATCAAGTTTGATAAGTTCTGACTTTGTAATGATTTGCCTAGATGATTAATAAAAGTTATGTTAATTGCAAAAAAAAATATATTAGTAAAATTTATGTTATATCTACTAATAAGTAGAAATTATCTTATTCACAATAACATTTAATTCTTGTAAAAAAAATATTGTTCAAGTATATGAGCTCTCTATAGGTGTGATAATCTAAATTTTTGTAGGCTTTGGGATTTTATTTTAAAGAAGTTATCAAGTTTGATAAGTTCTGACTTTGTAATGATTTTCCCAGATGATTAATAAAAGTTATGTTTATTGCAAAAAAAAATATAAGTAAAATTTATGTTATATCTACTAATAAGTAGAAATTATCTTATTCACAATAACATTTAATTCTTGTAAAATTAGTATCCAATTGATCTAAAAAGCCTAAGTGAAAATTTAAAAAACTTAAATTTAATATTCAGTCAAAATAATTATTTACTTTCCTTTCTTATCAATAAATTAAATCTAAGAAATCTCTTGGGGTATAACTAAATTCAGGATTTCTTTTATTACTAGGTAATAATTAATAAATTCAAGATTACTTGTTAAGTGAGGAAAAATGTAGGTGTATATAAACACAAGTGAAGAAAGCAAAAACAAAAATAAAAAGTAATGGCTTCAAAATCATGTTTAGAAATAGCTTTTATATTTGGCCTTGTTCTTGTGTGCACTAATGCTGAGGGAAAGGTCTTCAATGTCCTTTCATATGGTGCTAAAGCAGATGGAGTGACAGATAATAGTAAGGTCAGAATTGTCATTTTACTTTTTTTAATGTGTCTTTTGTTATTATCGTATGAGTAAGATCTACATACGCAAAAACTCATTCCATTCTTTTTTTTACTTGTCCCTGTTGTTGATTTGATACTCTTCGAGAAATTATTCCTTTTGGTCAATTTTGCTTTATTATATTTTGAATAACTCATAATAAAACATTAACTACAAGAATAATTTGTACTTTAAAAGTTGAAAAAGTACAAAAAAAAAAAAAAAAAAAAAAAAAAGTCAAAAGTCAAATATTAAAAATTTCGAATTTATGACTTTTGACTTTTGACTTTTAACTTTAAAGAAGGCAATCCAAACACCCCTTAAGTCTACTTTTATTTATTTATTTGTTTATATATTATGGAAGGCATTTTTAAAAGCTTGGGCGGCTGCATGCAAATGGAATGGACAAGCCAAATTGTTGATACCTTTAGGTGTATACATGGTAAATGTTGTAAATTTTCTTGGCCCATGCGAAAAATCGACTTTGACCTTCCAAATCAAAGGAATTATTAAAGCTCCAATAGATCCAAAATCATTTTGCAATTCGTCTTGGATTTCTTTTCAATATATCAATGACTTAAAAATTAAAGGAGGTGGAACGTTAGATGGACAAGGATCTTTTACTTGGGGAAAGCATCAATGTTCATCAATGGTATGTTTTTATAACTTTTATTTTTGTGATTATAATATAAAGTTAAACAATTAAACACTATTTCTAATGTTTGAATCAGACACTTGGATTCAATTTTGTCAATAATACGGTTGTGCGTGACATACATTCAATCAATAGCAAGAACATACATTTCAAGGTCTTTGCTTGCGAAAACATGACATTTAGTCATGTTAACATAACAGCACCACGCGATAGCCCTAACACTGACGGAATTCACATTAGCCACTCCACCAACATTCATGTATTGGATTCTTACATTGGCACTGGAGATGATTGTATAGCTATGATCGCTGGAAGCAATAATATCAACATTTCAGGAGTCACTTGTGGCCCTGGCCATGGAATAAGCATCGGTAGCTTAGGGAATTCGCCAAATGAAGTTGTTAAGGACATACATGTCAAAAATTGCACTCTTATCGCTACTCAAAATGGGTTGAGAATTAAGACTTGGGCATCATCGAATGTTGGTAACATTACCAATATAACTTTTGAAGATATTATCATGGAAAAGGTTCGAAATCCTATATTTATTGACCAACATTATTGCCCAATACATCATTGCAGCAAACAGGTACTTGCATTTCCCTCTTTTAATCATTAAACTTAATGCGTTAAAAAAAATAAAAATTCTCATGATTGATTGCTAAGTAGAAAATATCATCACAAAATGTGTTATAATCAATAATGTCTATGTCTTAATTAGCATAAGTAATTAGTACTCCTTTTGTCTCAATTTACATGACTTGGTTTTCTTTTTAGTCAGTTTCAAAAAGAATGACACATTTTTATGTTTATTTAGCCAAGTTCAGTACAAATCAAGGACGTGACATTCAATAACGTAAGGGGAAGTTCAAGTTCGCGGAGAGCAGTTATTTTGGATTGCAGTGCATTATTTTCTTGCGAAAAAATCAACCTTAATGATATCAACTTAGCCTACCATGGCCGCCATGGACATGCGATTGCATTTTGCGCTCACGCCAAAGGGAAAGCCACCGGCAAGGAGTTGCCTCCAAGTTGTTTAAAGGAGTCTCTTAATTCATCAACTTAGTCATCTTAGATATTATATGATTTGTCAGATTATATTAATTGATCAGACAGAAAATTCTTGTAATGACCATCATCATAGTCGTTTTGAATTTTTTGGGTTTGATCATTTATATAGCTTGTGGATGACATGAATTTTGAAGTTTTTAATTTTAAAGTTTAGGAAGTTTGACTAAAGTCAATATTCTAAGTTAATGAGATCAAATCTGTTATGTATTGATCTCATCATACATAAAATGGACCATCAATAGCAAGGGCAATTTTATCTTTTGAAGAAAAATATGCCTCCAATCTACAATTTCTCATCCTAAGAAATTCATCTTGTTCAATATCTAGATCTTTGTTGTTCACATGCAAAATTTCTTTTTAGGCAAAATACACAAATGGCTTCTACCCCTAAAACATGGAGCTAGCTAGCCATAGAACTTCAATTCATATTTAGTAGCCAAAATGTGTGTATTTATTTATTAAAATTTTAATTTGTTTTAATATTTGCTATTTCTTTAATGTGAAATGCACCATTTCCGGATATATATTATACACTTTATATGTAAAAAAAATTTATACAACGTATACACACAATACCCATTATATAAAATTTTATCAACTTTTTATATACACTATATATTAGTATACTTTTCATATAAACTTTATATTCACTTTTCATACAATGTATATACATTTTATGATAATTTGCCAAGTTTCATAATGGCATAAGTAAAATTAATCTCATCGTATATTGAGGGATAAACTTACCTAATAAACGAAAGTAAAGGACTTTTTTACCCTTCTTCCTTGTTTATTTTGTCCAAACACATACTTATAAATCTAGTTTTAGAGAGTGTCCAAAAACAGTGGAGAATTTGAGTAGCCAAAATTTTGTTAAGTAGGGCCTTTGTTTGTCTTTATTTAAACTTCTCTGAGTGGGTTCTATTGAGGGGTGATACAAAGTGTTTAGTACAGTTCCGACATACATACGGCTGAGTTGTTGTGTCATTTTGGGTTTAGTAAATGATCATAATGTCCCTACTACCAACTTTAATTGAACCAAAAAGAAAAAAAATATAGTTTGATTCTTTACTAACTCTAATTTACTAAAAAAAATGAAAACTCTATCTTCACTCACTCTATTTTTTATTTTTATAAAAATAACCTTATTTAAATCATATTTTATGTTTTTAGATAAAATATATTCAAACAATCAAATACTATAACCATCAAAATTACCTCTTTGAACTAGTATATATATCTAGTTTCTCAAATTTTGAACCCCTCGTTGGGCTCCGCCACACTGACAAGTTAGACTTTATGTAGTATGCTCCAAATTGCACTTTACTTAAGAGAGGTTAAGTCGTAACATTTTACATGACCCCAAAGACTGACAAACACACACACATGCACAAGAGAGTCGTATTTTGATGCTCATAATGAGGTGAAAGCACAAGTAATATTAGTTGGCAAAACAGTACATAAGAAAAAACATTCAATATTTCACATGGACTCCAAAAGGCATCTATCTAACAGCTTTAAGACTGCTCTGACACATTAATGGTACTGAGAATTGACTCTTTTTTTCCCGTTATTAACCTTGTCATATCAGCATTCTTTAACATGCATGTCTGGAGAACCTATACTTTCGATCTAAATATATGCCTCTTGTTATACTTTCGATTCAAATGTTTGGATTTTAAGGGAGTACAGGACATGTGGCAAACTTAGTAGGCGTTTGGATATAGCTGTTGTGTTTTCACTATAAGATTTGACATGTAAAAAAATGGAACTCAGAACAGTATATATATTTCAACTTTAGCTAGAAGTTCACTTGCTGTACAAAAGTCTATGATTCTATCCTACATTTCTTTATGTTCTCCATTGCATTAACTACTTGCCATGCCTAAGTTGAACAATCGAGAAAAGTTTTTTTGGAAAAGGGAAAAAAAGTTAGAAACCAGTACCAAGTGATTTCTTCTATGAATTGTGATACATAACTTAACCTTACATTAGACTTTGAGCAATAAACTATAAGCTAAAAATACAGGAACTTGCGTTCTGCTATTACATCATGAACTGGTTCGTTGCATGGCGGCTCTATTCCTTCTGGAAGAAAGAGAGTACAAAATCTGTATGTACAGAGAAGAGCTGTGTGTCCAGGAAAAGCTGTTTCACCAAGAGCAACAAGTAATAGATTAGCATGCTCTTCACGAGGAAAACCAAAGTGATGGCTTTACCATAAAATGAAGGATAACATTCTAACACATAACATATAATCTAAAATGGACTTGCATCACATCAATTGATGCCCTAAATAACAATACAAAATGCGTGCATAGCTTCTGTAAGTGCAGATTCAGTTTTGCAAGCAAACCGTTAAGATGAACAGGTCCACCTCACAGATCATTTTGCAAAGCACAGTAATGACATTAGCAGGGTGCAGTATAGTGAAGCTATTTCGCTTTTAGATAACAACTGAAAAAAGTGTGGAAGCTTAAGCACACACCTTCATAAAGGGACGATCTCGACTAGGGAAAGACTCGATAAAGCTTTCCTTCAAGAGCAGAGATACCTAATAACCAAAGGACAGAATAAAGAATTCTGAGTTAAGAGATAGTCTCTTTACCAATCAGTGTAAGAATGAAACACATAAGGATTTCTTCATAAAAGCTGATGATGATGTTTGTCAAAATGTAAATATAGTTACAGGAAAAAGAAAAAGAACTAAAACTAGTATAACATCTAAGCAAGTAAAGCATAAGAGCTCACATTGAATGAGGACTCAGATTTCAATAATGCAAAACTTCATAAAAACTGACGCTTATATCCATCACCAGGAGGAGCAGAAAAAGAGTGATGTAAGATAAATTACCTTTAACAATCTGAAACTATGTAACACTGACACATGCAAATTTTACCTTCAAAGTGTTTATGATAAAGCTCTACTATCATTAAACCGCTGTCTCAAGGTTAACATACTCTGGTGTAAATTTTCATGTATATGAAGACAGATCCAGAAAAGGTTTTCCTCAAATATTGGTATTCATGTAATACCACTTATGCACATAAAGAAACTGAGAAAAAATAATTCTGAAATAGTGCCAGTTATCAGTACATTTGAAGCATTCAGAGTGATAAATTCTGAAGATAGGAGCTTGAACTTCAACAGGAACAAGCTTTACTGAATATGAATTGTGAATTCATTTTCCAAACATACGAAGTTTCTAAAAGTTACAGATGTCACCAGCAGCTCCAAATAATCTACTATCATCATCATCTACTTTTCTTTGGGTGGAAACACAAATGGATGTTTGCTAGTAAATTGCTCTTTCTTCAAGTTCAGGTCTTAGTGTGTACAATTGCTCAAATATCAAATACTGTTTCAAACTTCTGTATTGGATAAACCGTACATACAGTTTGCAGCAGGCTAAGCATACCAATTTCAATGATTCCCCATTTGGAACAGGTTATGCCAAAGAGTCTAGACAACATCTGATTCTGAATAATTTAAGTAACAAATACCTTTCGAAAGTGATGCATGTACAGTCAACTCTGTAAGGCTTTTTCACACAAGTAGTCAGCCAAATCAAATGCTCCAAGGAGAAGCTACAAACCTTATCATCATTCGATTGGACATTAGTAATTGTGTGTGAACGAAGGTTCGAGCAAAGTGAATCCAGGTACGACCGCAACACTCCCAGGAAAGACTTTGCAGCTTCAACCTAAACATAATGTCATGGTTAAGCAGTAATAAAGACTGACTGGATAGCTAGAGTAATACAACATACTGTAAAGATATTACATTGAACCATTACTTTCTGGGTGCATTAGCATTCTAAACCATTATTTTCTGGGTGAATTAGCATTCCTTAGTATTAGCATTCTAAGGTAGAAGAGCCAGTGACCAAAATGACAAAGGTAGCTATATGAAATCTGTGATACCAAAGTTGCAAGAGAACTACAAAGAAGTGTAACGAGAGACGTGCTTGGACAGTCACATTCTTTTTTATCATTTGTTAAGTGTTCTGCAAATGGAAAAAGAACTTTTTCTTTGAAAAATACCCTGAAACCACTTTTTCAGAAAACTGTTTTTTGAAAAAAAACTTAAACAAACACATTTTTGAAATTTCATTTGCGAGATCTCAAAAAGAATATGCACAAACACCACCTGAAATTGTCAACCATCCCATCTGTTTTTTGAACTCAACCAAAAGATCATATATACATAAGAGGCACAAAGTAAATGCTCTGTAGGGAAGCTGAAGGAAACAAAGAAAGCACCAGCAAAATGTCTTCAATAAACTCCAATAGCTACTCTATACACAGTTTACATTTTAAATAGCTTCCTATAAAAGAACAAGTATTCAGGTATGCGATTACAAATGAAATGTACAACGTCTCAACATTTAACCAATCTAATCATTTCTACCAATTCACAATTCAATTAGCAAGATGGTCCACTGGTGGAGCTATGACTTCATTGGGATTACATACTTCGCAAACAGTTTCACAACTACTAGGCTGTTTCTGATAACAATTCATACTCCCTCTACCCATGCAGGATACCCACCTTCTAAAAGCACACGGATAATCGCAAGCTCGCCTTTAGTATGGTACCTTTTTGTACCCCATAAGAGGAACCCAATTTACACTTCCCCCATCCTGGTTAATCATTTTTGGGTGCTGGGTCAAAAGGAGAAACAATAAGCTATGAAGACAAAATGAGCATCTCCAGAAGGGATAAGCATTAAAATGGTCAAATAAGTGATTATCTATTCAGAAGGAAAGGAAAATGAGAATTTGCAAAGGGATAGAGCTTAGAACAGTAAGATAGTGATTAAACACTCAGAAGGAAAGGAAAATTGAGAATCCGTGTAACAAGGAGAGGACAACATACTTGCACCCAATGGTCTGGCCTAGTGGTCAATAAAGTGGAAGGAGAACCACGAGGTCTCAGGTTCAAATCCCCGGAAGTAAAAAACACTACATGATTTCTTCCCATCTGCCTAAGCT